CTGCTGTAGCTGAACCCAGGACACTCTGAGACTTCTCATAACTGTGCACGTTCTTGACAATTTACTTGCCCTCTATGCCTGACAGCCCAAATATGCTATCCTTATTGGCAGCTTAATGTAAGTAACTAATTTAATTTCTTAACAGGTTTATAAGGAATCATTTGAACAGAGGTTCCTGGAAGAGACAAATTGTTTATATGCTGCAGAAGGCCAAAGATTAATGCAGGAAAGAGAGGTAGGTGCATGCTGTAGAATACTGCTGTTATGTTAGTTTTATCTGCTGTGGAATTACATGAGAACTTCTGGTAGTGTCATGATGTATTAATGAAGTTTACTGATACATGTTCGTGTGTTTTGATGTGCAGTATTGTATCAAAGGGAAGAGCAGACTCCAGATTGCCTTGGTGCTTGAAATGTTTAACTAAGGGTGGAGAAACACAGTGATGTTCTTGTGTAGCCAAAGTCACACTACACAAAAGTAATTTCCACATAAAGCTTAAAAGTATGCCATCAATATTAGTTTTCCCCAACTACTGTGAAAGATCTACTGGCATCATTTGACTATGTGGTTATTACCTAAGTAAACTGTTCACTTTGTTACTATTTTGTTGCATTTATCTTTCTGTTTTGTTTCTTTTCCATATTCATTGAATATACTTAATGCATTTTTGGTTTCTGTCCTCTTGAGATAAAATTGTGCTCTGCAGTAGGCAGTCTGCAGATGTGGTTATCTCTGTATGTGTTTCTTGGTGGTCTGAAATACAGAAGGCTACCTTTATTAATTCATCTTTAACACTGAGTAACTACAATAATTTTGAAAATGCCTTTTTACATTGCACTGAGGTGAACCCTTGTGTCTAATCCTGCTCCATCACCTCATTCCCTGGCATTCCACTGGGACTTGAGGTGAAATGCTTTGACATAGGTTTTGAGATCAAAAGTCTTACTGCTTTTGTATGCCTAGTGGAAAGCTGTGGAAAACCACAAAAAGAGTAAGGCCTTAACTTACAGTAAGTAAATTTAAGTACATGTGCTTACATATATGTATATGCATATGTGCATGCATGTTTGTGTGTGCATAGAGGTACATATATGCACATATGCATAATTGTTTTGATAATTTGAAACGTGAGTTTCATACCTCTGTTGTGATACGTGCTAAATGTGTTAACTCTTCATAGGGACACAGATACTCTGCTGGAGAAACTACCATTGAAATAGTGGAATTATATGGCTCACAGCAACTGAAAATCTGCTCCATGATAATTTAAGGGTTAGTTTAGCTCAGAAGGGTTTTGGGAAAAAAATAACTTCCTCTGAAAAATCCTCAGATTTCTGGTTTTCTCTTTCTTTCTGTCAGGTACAATTATAATGCTTTTAATATGAACTAACATTGATTAATAAAAATATAGATCAGGTACTATGTAACAACATTCTGGAATAGTCTTTTCCAGTTAGTATTCTCTATAAATTTGCAGTTTAAAATAATTGTCATGGAGCAAGATTATCTGTCTGTCATATCTTTGTAGCTGAACTTGACGTTCTCTTGCCTCTCTAGGTCCCAGAATATCTTCACCATGTTAATAAGCGTTTGGAAGAAGAAGGAGACAGAGTAATAACGTATTTAGACCACAGCACACAGTGAGTACAGATTTTGTCATTCTTAGTGTAAGTCAAGCATCCTTCATAAAACAGTGTGATTATCCCTGGTCACAGAGAGACAGAGATTATTTCTCCATTATCTTACAAATATTATCTTGTTGACGACACTTGTGATACAACTCGGGCTTTTAAAGACTTTATTTTAATCAAAACTCATTTCTTCAAAATCAAAATATACTTTGAGTAAGAGGAAGAAATTTGTCCAGAAAGATTTATCAGTGTATACTGAAGTTAACCAAACATTATATAAAACCTCAAATTTACATTATCTAAATAGCAGCTGATTTTAGTCATTCATGTCATTCGGTGATAAAAACATTAACCACAAATCCCTTGAGGGAAAGAAAGACATGTTAGGAAAAAAAAAAGGGAAAAGAAAAGGTTAAATTATGGTGTAGGATAGAGAACATGAACATCACTCACGAGCAGTCCGGAATATGAACTTAACAGTAGGTGAGTTTTGGTGCCCCTGCTGCCAATGTATTGTGCAAGGTACCTTTTGTTTCACTCAGGCGTTGAGTACTATTGTGTGTTTTGCTGGGGTAAGAATGTGCATTCGGAAGGTACTGCAGAATCACTGACACATTATATATTCATATGTAAATTGTCCTGCAGTAAGCTTTTCTTTCTTTCTTTTTTTTAAATAAAGAACATGATAATTAATAAAGAACATAACATATTCTTTTAGTTTTTAGTTTTCTGGATGACTGGTATTTCATTGGGTCTCAGAAGGATAACTGAATAAAGATTATCTTTTTAACTTACTAGTTTCATTAGATGTATTTTCTGCATATACTCACGCATACATACTCTGTGTGTCATGGTAGATACCTGAACTTGAATCGTTTTCCTAACATTTTCTGGCAAATTCACTCACATTAAAATATAAGGAACTATTTCTACATATAAAGTTACAGTGTGTATATATATATATCTATTTACTGTTTAAGTTAAAAAATAGGTTGATATATTTTTCAGTCTAGATACACATAAAGTCCTTGCTTTGAATCTTGTCATTAGTTAAAGGCTTAAAACCTTACTTTTAGAAGACTTTGCATTAATACTCTCTCTTTGCATTAAGAAACAGCAGTTCTTAAAATTAGTGCCTTTGAGTTGTCCTCAGGTCATACTGTCTCTCTGGGTGTGCATGAGAAGAGCAGAAAGGATGTTAAATTTAGTTACTGGGCTTGATCTTGAGGTGGAAGTGATACTTCCAGGACAAAACCATCATGGGAAGCACCATTCAAAATACTTCAGATTTGCGCCACGCATGGAGGGCATGGTGCTGCAGCCCGCAGACTGATGTATTCAGCACATCATTACATGCCTTTCTGGACAGCTGATCAGAATAATCGTGTCTCCTGGTTGGTCGGTAGATGATTGAGGTAGATGACTTTGAGGCTGTACAGAAGGTATCTTCAAGCTCATTCATTAGCTAGCAATCAAGATGAATATTCTGTCTGCTTGTTAGGAAATAACACTCTGCCTCTTAGTCTTAAGCAGACAAATTGTCCTTATTTCCCCCATAGGCAGAATAGGTCTTCTGGGGCAAAGGATGGTATTTTATACAACCTTGACTCCTCCTGCTTTTAGAGACAAGTCAGCAGCTGTAGATAGCACTAGATGGAAATCTCAGGGAATGTGGAAGTGACCATAAAAATGGCCATATGTGTTAAGACCAAGAGTCTGTCTAACTGGTATTTCATGTTTGCTTACAACCACTGAAATGGAAAGAATACAGTAAGTGTATGTGACACCCTGATAGTCTCCTAGTATCTGTCTGTTTTCAGCTCAGGTTGTTTTCTGAACCTGATGTGGTTTGTCTGCTTGGATCTCTTTCAAACACTTGCATTGTCTCATTGGGATTCATGTAAGCTTTTCCATCTGTGCCAGCCTTCGGCGAAGTGTTCCACTGGTCTGGTAACCACCACGTGATAAATTGCCTCCTTTTGTTTGAATCTGGCTCCCAGTGCCATCACTAATGACCACAGTTCTTCTACTGGAAGGGAAGGTGATCGGTCAGTTCCTTTCCACCTTTTTCCTGCCTGTCAATGCACTGCATCCCTGCTAAGTCACCTCTTTCCCAGAAAGAAGAGTCCTACACATGCAGTTGTTTCTCTTGCAGCTGCTGCTGCATACTTTGTAACCTGTTCCCTTCTCTGAACCTTTCCAAATTCTAATTTAAACTTTTTGAGATGAAGCAACTAAAATTGTACTGTATGGAAGGTCAGGCTTGTCATTGACAGGCTGTTTTAGGAAAGGTGGTATTTTAGCAAAGGTAGGGACATAAAGTGGATGCTGCTGCGTAAAAGGCTGCCATCAATCACAGTCTAGCACCTTTCTTCTAGAAAATCTAAATTAAGTGTCTGAACACCAGTTCTATAAAACTTGGAAGGAAATGATTGGTCTTTTGTTGTCATATTGCAAGCAGCAGCAGAAGTTTAAACACTGAAATGAATTAACCCTTTGCACTACAGACATTTCTTTCCTCATTTAGGCTAAAAAAGATGTAAATGAAAACTTGCTGTTACTTTTCAGTCCTCTCTAAAGTGAATGTATCAAACAAATATTTCATTAATAGTAAAAAGTGGGGAATATTTAAGGACAAATTTAAAATGTTTTGCAAATGTGAGTCTTGTGGTTCTAGCTCGATTTATGCTTATGTAGCTGCGTAACATAATTAGATGAAAAGTTTGAGTTTTGAACATTGCCAGCATCTATTGTGTTGGTTTGGAATTCAAACCCCTGGAGGTTTTTGTTTTGTTTTGTTATTTGGTTTGTTTGTTTGCTGCTTTGTTTCCAGAAAAAGTCAATTTGACTTTTTTCCAGAAATATTTTTTGTATTGAGTTTTGGTATTTAAGCTTCTCTCTTCTACTGTGCAAGAACTTGCTTTTTAGTATTCAAACCTGAATTTCTTTATTAATTACATACATGGTTTATTGTTTTCTTTCTTGACTTACATCAGATGTGACATTTTTGTCTTAATTTGTAGCCTGTGTTTTAAGTAGAGAGTTGTTGATTTTTTATTTTTTTTTTGGTACTCTAATGTAAGTAAGTTATTCACAATTAGTCTGTGACAGGAGGCAACTCCCTTTTACTCTAATACTTCTGATGTACTTTTCTTGCCTTATTTAGGAAACCACTGATTGCTTGTGTGGAGAAACAGCTACTAGGAGAACACTTAACAGCTATTTTGCAAAAAGGTATTTTTTTTTTTTTTAATTAATGTCATCTCCAATAAGCAACAGATTCTCATGCTCTGAAATAACTATAAACTCCACAGCTGTTATTTAAGGAGTTGTATTAGCCACAGGAAAAACTTCCACAGATACAGAAAGCCAACCCTATGACTGTTAAACCCACTGTCACAAGTAAATTGTATACATGGAAGCAAGTATCTAAAATAATTCCATATTTGTAAAGTTGCTAAACCCCCTAAATCTCTGACTTGCAGCAATGGGCTTTGGTATTAAATCTTTGGAACTGCTTATTTCATAGAATTATATAAACTTCTAAATGAGTGCTGCAGTTACTATTGTAGCTTCTTTTATGTGATAATCACACAGCTCAAGTGCAATAGCTTCACATATTCTTGTGATTGTATTGTTCAAGAATCATGAGTTACTGGAACTGACAACATTCTGAGGCAATGAACTTTCATATGCCTTTGTCTAAATTTTACCTGGCAATTTCAGATAAAAGCTGCAGTCTTCTTAGGAAGTCCTTATTCATGCATTACTGTCTTCAAAGTAGCGTATCTTTGTTCCTCTTAACTTTTAATCTCTCCCTTTTCACTGAATTTCTGGGTTAGGTCAGTATTCCCTGATCTTTTAATACTGTAAATGATCCATTTCTTTCCTTGCAGTAGCTGTATTTTAGGTTTTAGATCTTCTAGCAAATTGTCCTTACATCTTTGCTTCCTTTACTGCTGCAAAAGAGATGTCCCTAGTAATCTGGTACCTTTGAGCTCCATCACATGCATGTTTGTCAATACTTTCAGGTTGTTATGCATACGCCTTTCACTTCTTTCTTTGTCCCCTTTAAAGATAGACCTATGCTCACAGTTTTCTCTGAACTACTCTGGGAATAAGTCATTCATTGTTGTAAATACATTTATATAAATAAGCATGGTCACTCCATCTTTGCTATTCTTAAGATTATCATAAAAAGAAGGTAAGAATAACTAATTTTTTGTTGATATATGTCAATTTTGCTCTTTAATTCAAGTATGGTTTTTAAGTAACTTCTCCTGTGGCATTCGTTCTATCAGTTGGCTTAACCAAAAGTAAGAGGTCTTGTTTAACCTAAACTTTTTCTCAGTTTATAATGTATATGTACCATCCATGTAAATATGGAGAGATGTGTACAATTTTTCTAGTTACTACATTTTAGGACAGTAGTATTATTGGATTAGCTTTTGCATTCTATGTCTGCACTTGGGGAAAAAAAAAAAGCAGCAAGCTAACAGGACTTGCATAACTTTCCGCATTTATTTGATCCAGGGCACATAGTATTTTGATTATAAGATCCTACTATTCTGTGCAAGTAGAAGATGATACTGCCCTTTGTAGGTTTTGTTCATTAGGAGAAGGCATGTGATGTAGTCAGTTTGATACAGGTGGGGAAAAAGCTTACAAATGCAGGGTATGTATAAGAAACATTGTTTTCTTGTATTACTACAACTGCCATTGAATAGATATTAGTGGCTTTTTCATTGTGAGTATAATAAGTTTTTCCATCTTTCCACCAAAGCTGTGGTGGAAGTTGCGTGAAGCCTTGTGTCTGAGGACTTTCCTGGACATCTTTTTCATTTGTCAAATGTGTGATAAAGTATTTTTTTCAGTCATGCACCTCATATGCTAGAGGAAAAAGGAAGGTTAAACTTTATCATCTAGGTTATAATAAAGCAGTTAGTGTATTGATGTCTTTAAATGAACAGGAGGTCATGCTTGGATGTGATGGAATGGGCATTTCTCAATTCCCTCCTCGATACCAAAAGAATACCATGTATTCAAGACTTCCTAATCTGTTGTCTTACATTTAAAGTATATCCATTCTTCTGATATCTCAGAAGTTTAGAAAACACCAAAATACCAGGCAAAAGTTTGCCTGGCATCATTCTTGAACATTCATTGCTTTCTGAACATGTAAGAAAGTTAAAATAGACAGTGAAAGTATTTTTAAGATTAAGAATGTAGCAGAAAATGGGATAATTCAGTAGTGACTGAAAATCCTTTGCACTCTAGTACCATTTAAAAATTGTAATTAATGAAGTATGTTTTGTGAAGTAGTATGGTGTCAGCAGCATTGATGATGTGAATTGTCAACCTGTGTAAAATCAAGCTTTCTGGATTTAAAAAAATGCGATAAATCTTTGATGCAACCCTCCCATACTACTAAAGCCTCTGTCACAAACACCAGGCAAGGTATCTCTGATTACATCAGAACTACAGTCATCATATTCTCAAATGTAACAATGTGTACGCAGTTGTTGCATACTTTACATTTTGCCTTGAGTTTCTCTTCTTCATTTTTTTTTTTAGTGCAAAGCTGAGTCTTATGAAGAGTGCTATCATTAAAGTCAAAAGTTGTTTGGAAGGAATTTGTAATCTCGTGTGAGTGTAGACAATTCATATCACATTCTCAATCTAAAAACATGGTTGACCACACTCCACAGAAAAAATCTTGCAAAGTGTTTGTCTTCAAATTTGGCGCAGTTTACTTAGCTTATTGTTTTCTGACTTTCTTTAGAAGTTCTTGGTAAGACCGTTCCCTTCAAATCAAGCGCTGTTCATAAACATTCTGCAAAAGGCTTACAGTCAACAATTTTCCGTGTTGGGAGAGTACTGCTGTTGAAATAGTTTTATAGTACTGTACCATAAATCATTTCAAACAGTTTAAACAAGGGGACATGTTAACTCTGAACGTATCACTTGCTTTCATTAATTTAGTCTTAAAAAGTTCATATATTTTAAGCACACTGGAGGGTCTTGTCTTTTGATGTATTTCACAGATTCTACAGATAAATTCTAACTGTATTTATGCAACTGTATTCAAATTTGCTCTTAATTATTTTTATTTAGGACTTGATAACCTGCTTGATGAAAACAGAATATCAGATTTGACCCAGACATACCAGCTGTTCAGCCGGGTAAAAGGTGGGCAGCAGATCCTTTTGCAACATTGGAGTGAATACATCAAGGTATTTCAAAGATCTCTTACCCATGCCAAAATTTATGCTGTTATCATGTCTCTTCTATCAAAACCAAGAATAATATGTAGGTTTATGCATTAAAATTCTGTTTTAAGCAAATATGGGGAGCAATGCTAATGCTTCCTCCCCAGTAACAGTCACATGATGAGAAACAGCAACACCTAAGTTTTGGTTTGAAATTTCTACTTGGAAATTGCTTTCCTCATAGGTTTGAAGTTATTCTGGTTTGCTTTGCTTTTGAATAGAGCCAGGTGCACATGTGTATAGAGTATGCTGGACTGTACTGTGTGTTGTGTTTTGCTACAAATACACTCGACTATTTATGTGTCTGCTAAACCAGTGGAACATCAGAATGTAGCTATTCTACTGCAGGTTAGCAGTGCTAATGTAACCAAACTACGGTAATGCTGATGAATGTTTAAGCTATTTGGAGCAGAATACTCCTCTTGAAAATGATCCATCACCAAAGTTATATTTAGATGCTTCACATTTGTTTTGCTAGGCATAATGTGCATATAGTATGCTATCCCAGAGAACTTGCACTCTTGTGCTCTTGCAAGGTGAAGGAATAAAAGCTTCACAGAAGATGCTTCTCTCTCTCTGGAGTTGGTAACTCCTGATGTGATGGTTCTCCCCTGCATCTACTTTGTGTTCATCAACCTTCAGGACTAAGTGCACAAGATCAGTTCATTTCAGAGGTGCCTTTCTGCACACCCATGTCAGGAGTTCAGCTTGGCTCACCAGGGTGCAGCCGATGGGAGTAGGACATAGTCACTCCTCTGTGAACCCAGAGGTGGAGTTTGCCTCGCAGGATGTTGTCCAGTGTCCCCACATTCAGTCCATGGATCCATAGGCAGCTGGGCCAATTGAATAGCTTGTTGTGGCTGAGAAGAAACATCTTTCTTCTTCATTGCTCCCAGATCATGCTCCTGACTTAACCCTTGTGCTGCCTGCCACTCCATAGACTCTTCTGTGACCTGTTTTAACAGTACTTGGGTGAGGTCAGTTTTATGGCAGGTTTAGTGAGCTAGAAGAGGCTCATAGAAAATTCCATGTGCTGGCCCAGGGAAAGAAGCACGAGTTCAGGACACGTAGGAAAATAAGGGAAGGAGAATCAGAACATCTCCTTTCACAGCAGCAAGCTCTTAAATGGGTTTATAATTCCTTGTCTTGCAGAATCGGACATATTATAGCTTTGTTTTTAAGAAGTTTTTTTACAGACTCACAAAGCTAGAAACCATTTTCTATAGTGTCAGTAAATCTTCTTTCAAACATTCTGTATGCCAGGATGCATTAAAGGCTTCAAGAACTTCTATCTTCTGAGCCAGTATAAGAAAAAGCACAGAGCACGTGACAAGTCACTGGGGTGAAGGTCTGTGCTTACTGTAGTCACCTTTTTATGATTTCAGAGGTATCAGTTAGCCTTCTGCTGTTTGCAGAATAGGGGAAATGCCTTGCTATTTATGAACGTAACTGACAGAGACTGTGAGATGTCAAAATGCTGTGTTAATGAAGGGGACATTGTGCTACATGTCAGATATGATTGATGATCGTCAGACCCAAACCATTCTGTGATTCAGTGGTACACATATTGAATCTAAGGACCCTGGGCAGCTTTGTGTTTGGCTTCACTCTGAATGATACTTGAGAAAGATCTCAGTGAAAGATCACAGTGGATAATTTGACATTGAAGAGGACTTTTTGAGGTTTGGGAAGGGTTTCCCCATTTGTCTTTGTTGTTGTGGCTAACATCAGTTGATGAAAATATACCAGTGAAATACTGTTTTGTTGTACTGTGCAGATGTTCCTCTTGCTCACCTAGACAGATGTTTCTGTCTAGGGCACTGATCAGTGTTGCTAAGCAATTGTAAATTGTCCAGTAGGTTAAAATCCTCCCTTACAGGATATTTTGGTTCACTAGACAAATAGTATTGTATCTCCAAGATAATAAATGTAAGAACAAGAAAAGGAAGACAAGTTTGTGGCTGCTTCTTGCAAATGGAAAAGTTCTGTTTTATTGCACATCAGGGTTTCGGTTTTTTTGCTTTTAAGCCCATGCTGAAAGAGAAACCTTGGAGTGATGAGCGGCGGTTGAATTTTTGCCACCTGTTCCATCTGTAGAGCTCTCTAGTGGATTTAAGAAAAATAGCACAATGTTTTCCATTACACTTCATGTTTCTGAGGCAGCTTCCATGTAGTTTTTTACATGGTTCACGTAGTTCTGTACCTAACTGTAAAGTTGCACATCATACAGTCGTGTCTGTGTATTTTATTTATTTATTTTGTTTTAGCTTTTGTCTTAAATGTATATAATCTTTAAATCAAACACTAATGTTTGAAATCCATTAATGTGTGTCTGGGTTTTTATTTTAAATTTCAGTGCATCTCATTTTTTGAAAACTTGAAGTCACATGAGTAGCTCTGTTAAAAAAAATAATGTTCTTTCTAATGATAAATTTTATAAGGGTAAATGTGTCTGTTGGGGGAGATAGGTAGCACTCTAAAGTATTTTATTATCAAAAGTGTTTGTTTTACAGAACTTTGGGACAACAATAGTGGTTAATCCTGAAAAAGACAAGGATATGGTGCAAGAGCTACTAGATTTTAAGGATAAAGTGGACCATATCATAGAAGTGTGCTTTCAGAAAAATGAAAAATTTATAAACTTGATGAAGGAGTCCTTTGAAACATTTATCAACAAGAGACCAAATAAGCCTGCAGAATTGATAGGTACATAAATGTTTTTCTGTAAAATATTTCAAAAAACCTATAGAAAGCATGATAAGATAATGCTGCTGAGTGTGCTGGTGCCATAGCGATGCAATGCGCATTCTGCTTTAGGAGACTCGTTTTTGGGATATAAGGCAAAAGTTAACCTGGGAGCGCTGTGGGTTTGAGAAGCTTGGGTGTGCTCTTAGGTGTGTGCGTGGTGTCCTGACGGAGCATGCCAACTTCTGCTGTCCCTGCGCTCTGCTTCCTGCACTGTGCCTGGTGCTAACCACTGCTGAGAGAGTGTAATGCTGTTGCTACAAGCGAAGTAAATGGTTAGGGGGAAAAGTAGCTGTGGCAATAAAAAACCCAAGGGAACTGGTTTTAACTGTGGTAGTAGTAGTTTATTGGATGGTATAGGACAGGACTAAGTACAGCCCTTCTATCTGCCTTGAAGGCTGAGGTTGGGAGAACAATTTTAAAACAAGGAGTTTAAATAGAAAAAAGAAAAAAATTACCTTGAAGGGACAACTAGTGTTCATTAAGGGGATAAATAATAAAAACATCTTAAAAATACTATTACTGGGTTTATCCCTGATCTAAAGCTGCTCTGTGTTGTCTGCAGCAAAACTGGAGCTGTAGCATTTTACACCAGGAGAGGATCCTGCTCCTTTGTTGGTTGTTTTTCCTCTGTACATTCTTTTGCCTTTATTCAGCTTATTTTGTGGCTTCCTCCTAAAACCAGCTTTATGTAGGACTAATTGCACAACCTAGGGGTACAGGTTGAAGCCATGATACAGGCCTCTGTCATTTGTGCACTGTGGTGTTTCAGCTCCTGCAAAGGTTTCCTTCTAATGCAGAAGTATAAAGATACTAATGTGGCTTAAATAGTTAGCTAAACTCCTGGCTAAACCTTACTTCTGGTGTTTTGAAGCTACTAACATGAAAGCATTGCTTCTGATAAAATTTCGGTATGCTCCTATCAAGGAGCATGAGAGACATGCTGAAGGTCTACAAAAAAATATAGTTGTCTTCGTGTTGTTTGTTTCTGTTTCTCATAAAATACATTCATATGCATTGTACACTTCCAAAACATTGTCTTTCAACAAGTAATGTGCTTGCTCTGACTATAACATAAAATGTGGGAATTTCTGATGCGTTAATTTTACCGGTTATACTGTATTCATTTTTTTTTTTCTTGGACAGTTCCTTTTTGTGATATTTTTCCATTATGGCAGTATAGAGTAGGGCTTATTGCACAGAGGGATGGGAAAAGGAGAAATAGAAAATTTAACACTTAGCCTATGTTTTAACATTTAACATATAGTAATATTTCAAGTGGGAGATGCTTAAGTTGGTTATTTTAGATTTTTTTTTTTTTAAAGCTGTTAAACTCTTTTATTTATTTGTAGCAAAATATGTGGATTCCAAGTTAAGAGCTGGTAATAAAGAAGCAACAGATGAAGAGCTGGAAAGAATCCTTGACAAAATCATGATCATATTTAGATTCATTCATGGTAAGAAATAGTGTTCACTGTTGATGCGATTAAAACTGTTTTCCTTGCTGCTAGCAGAACTGCATTCCTCTGAATGTAAGAGATAGGAGCACCATCGCATTCAGAAGTCCTGGTCTTCATGGGGTACTTCAACCACCCCAATATCTGTTGGAGGGACAACACATGATCTTGCTCTGGTCCAGCTATGGGGCCCCCAACACAACAGGGACGTGGACCTGTTGGAGCAAGTCCAGAGGAGGCCTAAAGATGCTTCAAGGGCTGGAGCATTTCTCCTGAGGAGACAGGCTGAGAGAGCTGGAGATGTTCAGCCTGGAGAAAATAAGGCTCTAGTGGAAGGTGTCCCTGCCCATGGCAGGGGGTTTGGAATTAGATGACCTTCAAGGTCCCTTCCAACCCAAACCATACTACAGTCTGCAGTTCTATGGTTGTGTGATATCTTTGCACTATCAATGGAAAAGGTTGACAGACGCTCTGGTTTAAGGTGTGAAAACTTGTGCATGTCTGTATAACTTCTTTATTTCAAAAGGCCAAAAGGCTATCACAAACCAGTTGAGAAGACTTCTGCCAATGTTTCTTCACTAAGGCTTTTGAAACATTTTAGTACATAGGAACCCTTTTATTTTTTTTTTTATTTTTTTTTCACTGTTGTGTAGTGAATATTGTTCTGCTGATCAACATGTCATGAGAAAGGCTTGTGTCATAAACCTGAAGTGCAAGGATGCAAATAGATTGTCAGATTTCAGTTGTATTTCATTTATTTTTCTCAATTTCCATACAGGGAAAGATGTGTTTGAGGCATTTTATAAGAAAGACTTGGCCAAAAGACTGCTGGTTGGGAAAAGTGCATCAGTAGATGCTGAGAAGTCCATGTTGTCAAAGCTTAAACATGGTAGGCACCTTCATATGAGTTAAATACTTATTACTCTTTGGCATGTAAATTGGAATCCTTATTTTCTTATGATTTAAGAAGTGACAAACCAGATTTTAAGTAATAGCTGAGCATATCACAGCTTTCATTGTGCTCAGCAAGAACTCTTGGGCTGATCTATTAGATATGTAACTGGTTCACTTAATTTATCTATAGAGGAGCAAAATCCTTACAACATGTACCTATTTGTGGGTACTCTGTAACCTGGCAAATCTGGCTCAGCTGTCTCAGGTTAAACTTTCATTGCTTGTTCTGTGCTGCTTTGTAACTGTGGGATCTTTGCTTTAATTCGTGTGACAGAATGTGGTGCTGCTTTTACCAGCAAACTGGAGGGCATGTTCAAGGACATGGAACTGTCAAAAGATGTCATGGTTCAGTTTAAGCAGGTACATTAGTTTCTGTTTGTGTGCTGAATTTTCAGTAGTGATGGGGAAGCACTTAATGGTGTTACACCTTGGATTAAGCTAAAATTAAACAGAACAGCTTTTGAGCGGGTCCTGGTCATAGTAAGAGAGTCCTACTTACAGTTCTATTTATAGAAGAGAATTTATTTATTGTATATTTATTCAGAGAAAACCACCTTCTGCAGTTCTGTTTGACTCCATTTTAAGTAAATCACAGTCTGAATACCACAGTAGTTCAGTTGTCTGACATTCTTTAAAGTCCATGCCCCTTCATTCTGTAAACTGTTGCTGCTCTGGTGATTTCTTTGTGAACGATCCACACCAGAGAAACTCCCTGGAGGTTGCTATGTGCACAGAAACCATGTATGTCTCAGCCTCGAAGTTTCCAATCTGTTGGTGACCAAAGGAATGCTTGGAGGAAATAACTGCATATACTCATCCTGTTGTTGTACTTCTCCCTGAGTACCTGTTTGGGGCCTTATTGAAGACAGGATACTGGGATAGAGATCTGTCCCAGGACACCTGCTCCTGTAATAAAATACTCTAGTGACTCTTCTGTCCCAGACTTTTCGGCCGGGCTTGACTGATGCTATGCTCAAATTATATGAAAATGTTCTGTCTAACAGGTGTGGAATCCTTTTGACCTTACAGTTCTTCCCCTGGCTTCTGATCAAAAGCTTTTTTATTGCTTTATTTGCATGTGGTTAGAGTTCCTTCAACCTTAATACTCTGTAAAGACAGTGGTCTAGGATACTTCTTTTTACTTCCAACCACTTGCTGTGTTTTGAAATTCAGGATGAGGGTAATAAACTGCCATTCAAGCTCCTGGTAGAGCATGTCTGTCCAAGGATGTGGCATGTAGAAACTTTTCATTGTTATACTCATTTTAAATTTCTAATTTAAGTACATATACTTTCTAATTTAGCATGCAGACAGTATACTTGAATGATTTTTGTCTCTTGTATTTTAGTATATGCAGAACCAAAGTGACCCAGGAAACATAGACCTGACAGTAAATATATTAACTATGGGATATTGGCCAACTTACACACCTATGGAAGTCCACTTAAATTCAGAGGTTAGTATTTAAATTCTTCTAAATGCACTTTACAGAGCAGAATCATAATCACTATCATGGAGTAAACTAATGACATTCATTTAATGTATTTCTGCTAGTTATTTAAGGGCTTTATCTCATTTTACAGATGCCAAAATTGCAAAAAATATAATGTAGTGGATAAAATCAATTTTTTCAGATTATTGTTTCACTTAATGTGTTGGGAGTTTTATCTTTTTGATAATAATAATAATAATGTAAAGGTAGTGTTAAAATAAGATTGGTGTCCTACTTAACATTGCAGTCAAGCACTTAGAAATTTAAAACTGGGCAGTAATTTAGTCAATCTTTTAACTACACTGGTTAGGCACTTTGATCTAACCAATAGTTACGTTACTGCACATTATTTTTTTCTGTAAGATCCTTCCTCTGTTCTCTGCAATATGTCACACAAGACCCTGCATTTAAATAGCATTTGCCTGAAAAACAATTGCTTCCAAGTCGAGAGATTTTGCAAAGCTTCTGTCAGTAGTGATTTAAGTTATAATATGGATTTGGAGTCCTGTTTCCTGCAATATGTTGCTTGATGTGGAAGCTTTTGTGTTGTTGCTCCTGTGGCATCTTTTCCTCTGTAGCAGACTACTTTGGAAGGATCCAACCTGAGCAACACACCATGAAAATGGAGGGGTAAAAAAACCCCCTTACTTGGAAGTAAGAGGGTATAAAGTTCTGGAATCAGACTTGAATCTGTATAGGACAAACTGGAGGAAGAACTTGGGCACAGATGGCACTAGTCAGTGTATAGGTGTGAGAGGTATGCTTTTTGTTCCTTGACACTCTTGGTCAGATTTCAAGTCCAGGACAAAGCTTGTATTTATTTTTGAGGTTTAAAACCCTTTACAGGGGGTTATTTTACTTTTCAACAAGCAAATAAATTTAAAAAAACCAAAACAATAAAACACCCACCCAAAAAAAAAAAAAAGGAGAAATAAATATAAATAAGGACCAGTGTACTTGAGAGCAAAATTTTGCACTTTGGATTTAGTTTTTCACAGAAAATCACTCATAGTGAAACACTGTTGAGGAGCATAAAGAGATTACACGTGTGAAATCATCCAGCATCACTGCACTGGTATAATCCTAATAAATGTTTATCTCCGTTTGCTTTACAGATGATAAAGCTTCAAGAGGTCTTTAAAACCTTCTACTTGGGAAAACACAGTGGTCGAAAGCTTCAGTGGCAGACCACTTTGGGGCATGCTGTCCTAAAGGCAGAATTTAAGGAAGTAAGTTTGCTTGTTTAATGCTTAGCCTGTTGGGATAAAATTTAAGTCAGTTATTGGAAATCTAGTCATGTAATGTATTTTTTATAAAGGTAGTAATATTTTTGTGGAGGGACAGTCACAATTCAATATTGGTACTTTTGTATAAAAAGTAGGCTTTTTATAATTAAACTGAAATACTACCTAGCTAACAGGAGACAACAATATGATACTAGTATTCATTTGATACGAATTGTTGCTCATTTGAACAAAGTAAGTTGTAATAAACCAGGATATTCATGAAAGAAAAAGAATGCAGAATCTTTTTATTTTTAATCTCATAGGAACATAGAATGGTTTTGGGTGGAAGGGATCTTAAAGATCATCTAGTTCCAAGCCCCTGCCACGGGCAGGGACACCTTCCACTAGACCCCGTTGCTCCAAGCCCTGTCCAGCCTGGCCTCAAACACTGCCAGCGATGGGGCAGCCACAGCTTCTCTGGGTAATCTGTGCCAGGGCCTCACTACTCTCATAGTGAAGAAAATGGAAATATGGAATTGTTTTGATCATAGAAATACTGGTGGCACTTTCAGTATGCTTCACTTATACAAAAAGAGACTGAAGGGTATTAGTCATGTAATGACTGTGGTTAAAATTTAAATGCTTGTTGAATTATTGAAGTCTTAAATAACAACATTGTTTCTTACTGTGGTTTTGTTTTGTCTCACAGAGTATCTTGCCTTACTGATAATGCAGCTTAATTGAGCCACAGCAAAGACAAAAAACCCCTTAAATTCTTCAGCTAACTCATTGTGACTGTGAAGCTCAGAGGTTTAGGTGTTATGCAACAGTAGGATGGATAGGTTTGTAGCTGTTGATTGACAGAGGTGTTTACAGCTGCCTGAAGAGTTTGACCTATTTCCTTTGCCTGTTTGTACAAATATTGTGCTACTAACAATGCAATCATTCTGTATCATAGTAAAAAAAAACCTATTTTTTTCTTTCGTATTTGATCCAACACCAAGATTTCTTTTGTATTAGTTTGCTCATCTCCATAAAATGAAACCTAGTTGAAGTATGAAGAGATTCATTATTGATGGCAGCAAAGCCAGAATTTTATGTATTGTAATTAAAATGAAGAAAATTATGTGAAGTAAATACAAGGCCATTCTAATGAGCTTCTGCTGTGTGCTGTATTGCTAATGTTAGAGGAGCAAAAGAACCCAAAGTTTTAAAAATATCCTGTTTCCTCAGTACTGCATTCAGGCAGGTTCTTCTGTGTGCTGGGCATTCTAAAGTGCACATCTCTTCTTCTAAAATTAGAAAAAAGAATGTATAGCTTCTGTAACTTGTCAGATTTGCAGGATACAATAGAAAATGCTCTGAATATTACCTCTAATTATTTGATATTTCTTTTTTCGGGAAAGAAAGAATTTCAAGTATCGCTCTTTCAGACATTAGTGTTGCTTATGTTTAATGAAGGAGATGAATTCGGTTTCGAAGAAGTTAAAATGGCCACTGGTGTAGGTAGGAAGAGTACTTTTGATTCTTAAATTTATTCATCAAGTGGTTGCCAATTATGATTTGGTATGTAAAGGCCTAATTTTAAGAAATTTGCCACGATCATTAGAACAAACTGGATCAATAGTATGTAGACCCCAAAAGAGATGAGGAAAACACACTGCTGCTACTTCCTAATGTAGATAGCTTCACAAAATTAATAGTAAGAGCTGTGTAGCATATGTGCTACTAACAACCTATTAGATTTACAAAATATATCACTGCAATTCTTAAAAGTCAAGTGATGATAAAGACTGTTGACTCTACAGCTTGGTTTAGTTCTATTACAGTTTCAAATACTGTGTTTTGAAAATGATCGGTTGCAGAATGCTGACATTTTGGGGTGATTCAAGAGAGCATTTTCAGTTGAACAGTTCTAAGAACTTGCCCACCTCTTTTCCATTACTGTTGCTGGAGTGCCCCATTTACAAGAGGTCTGATTTGTTAAGGAGAGCAGTGTCCTGTAGGGTATATCGTTTGTAGCTGCTTGAAACCTGAAAGCAGAAAGAACAAAGAAAACTGAGGAAAAGTGTAGTTTTCTTTTAACCATCTGCAGTATCTGCCTTCTGTGTTCTTATGCTCTTGGATGGTTGGTTTGTGGTTTTTTAATTTATTTTATTTTTACACTTTCTTGAAATAGTTACAGCCATTGGCATTAAAAATGGTAATGCTATCATCTCTTTACTCTCTGGAACTTCTGCAGCAACCAGCAGGTCATACCCAGCAGCCCTTCGTATATTGAATCTTAAAATCAACTCAATAGAGCAACAGCTGAAAGAGTATTTGAACCCATGCAAGTACTAAAATACTATAAATATATTTACTAAAATACTGGAGAATGGGGATATCAAGAATCCCTGTGTTTCAGAATGATGCATTGCAGAAGGCAGTACAGCCTGTGTGCTCCAGTTTCTCAGCCTCAGTGCTGAAGTTGCTTAGTCATCCACACCATTAATGCTAAGGGAGCTGAAGAGAACTCATGCCAGTGTGAACGATAAGCATCTGGATAGTCCAGAGAGGCTCATTAGGTCAGAGTACAATGGTTACAGAACAAACATAAGTTCACGCAAGCATGATCCAGATCCTGCTTTCCCATCTTGTCTTGCTGTACCTTGGAGCTTGCATTCTGGCTGCCTGACAACAAGAGATAAAATCTGCTGCATGGAAATCCATTCCATTATGGCACAATAGAAAGGATTTCAATAGGCTGTCTTTAAGGCAGCTGGCTGGAATTGATAGTTGGGAGCTACCTAAATTATGTCATTGCACCATGTCTGTGTTTCTCTCCCCTATGGGGAAATAGTGTAGGAATGCCAGTAGTGAGGACAGTTCAAGATCCACAGGATTCCCATAGGGTCAGGATGGATGACATAAAATCTCTCGTCTTTCCAAGCTCTACGACACAAGGCATTTGGAGCTGCTTTAGAGAGGTCCCATTCCCACTTAGCAGTCCCCCTACTTCTAAAGGAGAGGAAATTCTTATGGCCAGAAATGGTGTCAGAAATAGATCCCACACTGCACTCTTCCTGCCTTCTGCTACTAGGATGATCCTTTTGCTCAGTGGTACCCTGCCAAAATCTGGTATCCTGGCTAATTGGAAAAGAACAGTGATTCAGTTATTAGAAAAAGTAGCTGAATTTATGGTGTGGCTTCTTGGTGAATTGACAACTAAGGGCAGAGGTGTTGACAGCCAGAGTCTGAGAGACCACCCAGCATGAACCAGAGGTCCTGGCTCATGGGTACAAATAACAGCACATGGTAGAAATCCTAGAGGGCAAAACTTGGGCATTAGGGTTGCCATAGAAACTGTTTCTAAATGTTTTAAACACCATGTGTAGGGCTAGACAGGCAGGCAGAACTGCAACACATGCATTAAACAACAATGTATGGAACAGGGTCTAGATTTCTTGGGAAATAGGAAAGCCTTTGAAACAGGGGGAACATGTACAAGAAGAGTTGACTCCATCTAAATTCAAAGGTTGTCAAAAAGAAATTGCTGGCACATTGTAAGGTTTTAGAAAGTCTGTAGGGTTTGTCAGACTTCTCCCTCCTCCATCTAGAAATAACATAGTGGATCTGAGAATTGTTCAGAGAGTGGGACTAAAGATGGAAGACATGGGACAGCTTCTTTAGAAGGAACAGTTGTATGTGCTAGGACTAAACTAAATAGACCAAAAGTTCAAGAGGACAGGTTCAGGGAAGAGCAAAGCACTGAAGGTTTCTCAATGCATAGAAATCACCTCTGAACCCAGGAAGTCTTTGAGCCGTAAGCGATTGGAGAGTTAGCGAGCAGTAGGATGAGGAGAGGAGGAAGAACAGGGAAGCATGAAGCTGTATTAGCTTTTCTCTATGCTCAGCTGCTCATGGCCACTGCTGGAGACAGGGTGCTGGGCTAGACGGACCTTCTGACCCAGGGTGGGTGTCCTTCAGTTCTAAACTAAACACTGAAAGAGATAACTGAACTTCCCTACTCTGAAGAACTGGCCCTAACCACTTCCTTTACTTTGGCGTTCACATGTTCCAGCTTCTTCTTGGAGGTGGTGGAAGTCTTGCGCAATTTTTAGTTTATTAACTTGTGTTTATGTTGAGGCCCTATTATGAGGGATTACCCACTTTGCATATTGGTGTTTACCACAGAAGAGTTCAGAGGGCTGTGTAAACACCATAGGGCAGAATAAAATACTGCAATTTGAAGTCTCAGTAAAGGGTTTAGAACAGACGAGTAAATCGGACAGTAAATTAGACCACCACCAAACGAACAGTATTCACCCCTGAGCTTTACAGGAATCTGTCTAGATTATTCAAGTGACCCTTGGTGCAAGCTTGACAAGAGCAATGCTAAATTTATTTATTTATTTATTTACATTCATGGGGTAATTCTTCAGATTATTGCAGAGTAGCCGGGCTGTACTGGGAGGGATAGAATTGGCAGGCCCATAGATAAATGTATATTAGAGAAGAGCCAGCATAATTTATGTGGTATATGATTTTATTTTCAAATTCATTGAGAGAGTCAGCAAGCATATCCAAAATCATATCTGTGCACTTGGCTTTTTGAAAGTTTTTTTAAGAACTCCTCACAAGCTCTGAAATAGTGGATAGTGAAAGGCAGCTCTTATTTGGGTTCCCCAGGTATTAATCATTATGGCCACTGATGACCTGAAGAAGATGAATACTCATGTGACAGAATTTGATGCTGATTCCTTAGGAAGGTCAAATCTGAAATGTGTAAAAGTTACAAAGGGATCTCGCACTGTAGAACAATTAGGAGATCAAATGGTATTCAGTGTTGATGAATATATCTGAGGCAGGAGCTGGGTGGGGGTAATAACCTTAATCACATCAGAGATTGGCTTTGTTAGGTGTGACTGCTGGGGAGTGAAGCTGTGCTGTCACTGTGTCCCCTGAAAAGACTGACTGAGAGTTCATCAGCAATCAGAACAGCATCTTGGTAACTTCTGGGGAAGTTATTGAGAACAAAGCAGAAAGCACCATTGTGTTGTGTGTGTGTTTGTGTTTGAATACTTCATGAATTTCAGGTTAGCCTGTATCTACAGGTGTATAGTAGAATTAGATAAGGAGAAAAAAGGACAAGAAGAAATACAGCAGGTATAGAACAGTTCCCATGCAGAGGGTGGAGAGTTCATCTCTTAAACTTGGGGCATGATAATATGGAGAGAGGTGAAAAGAAGGAAATACAAGTCTGTTGAATTACGGATGGCTTAGAGGCAGTGAATAGTGAATTCACCAGTTCTCACAGCACAAGAATTCAGGCAACTTTTGGCTTCTCTATCTTACTAGCCAAATCAAAGAACCCATGTTGGGTGGGCAGACATTTTGGTCTGATCCCTGTAAAGTATGATGTGGTTGTTCCCAACTGAAACCAACATAGCTGCATGAGACTAATGGCAGGTCTTAATTCTCAAATGTCAAATCAACCCAGATTGAATCAGCTCCCAATTTCCTGCATGTACATTGATTTTTGAGAACACCATGAAGGTGATGTTAAGTTATATTCTGCTTATTTAATGTGTTCTTGTGGATCTCTCACTGTATAAGCATCATGAATAATGTCTTCATCTGACCACAGTTGGAACTTGTGTTTTCCAGTCACTGTTACAATAAATTGTTGCGAGTCCTTTTAAAGAGATGAGATTGTTGCTGGTACATTAATACAGTTAGAAAATGCATAAACTGACACTCGGAGAAAGAATGGTCACCTGCTCTTTGGTAACTGTGCTTCTTGCATTGTCCAATGAGATGCATTGTCTGAATATACTCTGTGTTTTCACCTGCCTTTCTCCTAGCATTACTAGGAGCTGTAGTTTTTACTTCAGTGATTATAGTATGCCAAAGGGAAGGAATCTGCAACCTGTGACTTAGGGTGCCAAGCAGAAGCAAAGCTCCGGAAGTGTATTTTCTTTTGTTTGGACAAAACCACAACCCGGTGATCTGCATTTGCTGAAGGTGAAACCCCCAGAAAGTGTGAAAGATCATAAATGCCTGTTTAGTTGAAGTAATTCAAAGGGGTTTTTTTAGTAATCATAGAACAGCTGGAACTTTAAAAAAAAGGTCACTCTGTGAAAGTTAGAAGTATTTTAGAAGTAATGATAGTGTTAATCTTCTAGTCAGCTACACTGCACTTCAGCACTAGGTTGCAAAACCTTTCTTTCAATTTTTAGGCTAAAACTGTTCAAGAGATCCAACACATTTGGTGATAATTTTATGTTACGAATAAAAGTATTCTAGAGACTGCAGGGGGTGTTTGAATGCAAAATCTTGATACATGACTTTGCAACATAATTATTACAATATTTTAGACTTCATTTTATCTATTTGTCCAAATGCTTTTAGCTTTAAATTGTAGTAGGTAAAATTTTCCTCGCTCACTTGTTTCTACTATTTCCTGTCATGGGGGAAGTTTGTGATTATAATAGCTGTGAGCTCTGCCTTCTTGAAAAACATCTTCCTATCAATTTAGACTTTTGTTTGTGGTTTTTAAATTATTATTTTACTATATGTTTTCTAGAGCGTGTTAAAAATAATCATGAAATCATAAAATGGGTGGCTTGAGTTTCTCGTCATCAATGGATTTTTTTCTTCTAAAGTCCTGTTACTACCAAACAAGATGAAATAGAACCAGGCTCATGTTAATGTGAAATCTTTTCTGAAACTCCATTTGGTTGGAAAGCTCACTGAGGTGAGCACAAGCCTGTCTTCCTGATGGATACAATTCATGCACGCTCTTAGCACTTGCCTGTCAAAGACGTGAGACCAAACTTGATGGCTGTGAGTTGTTACCTAATTTGAACTTAGCTGGAAGAAGGTATTAAGATAAAACCAGTGACTTTTCAAATGTATTTCTAGATTAATCAGATACAACTCTTCATGTTAATGCTTTGTTCTTCTTTCTCTTAACTCTGAACTTCTTCACAGAGGACAGTGAATTAAGAAGAACCTTGCAGTCTTTAGCTTGTGGAAAAGCACGAGTATTGATTAAAAATCCAAAGGGCAAGGATGTAGAAGATGGAGATAAATTCATCTTTAATGGTGATTTCAAGCACAAATTGTTTAGAATAAAGATCAACCAAATCCAAATGAAAGAAACAGTATGTATTTAATTTTTGCATTCGTTCTGTTTGTTTACCTACATACCCCACTTGGAGCGACAGAATCTCTGCAGTTCCTTTCCTAGTTTTTGCATATGCAGAAAGGCAACAGGCGTTTAATTTTTTGGTGGTCATGATGACTTGCAGAGGCACTAAAGATTTTAAATCTCACTGAAATTGGAAAGAAACCCTTATAGGTTCCTTCCTATGATTGTGAATTTAAATGTCTATATATAAAACTGATAAAATACTGTAGGTATTTCAGTCCATCTTTGAAGTTTCTGTGGTATGGCTGAAGTGTTGGTACTATATTGAACTCATAAAGCAAATGTCATCATCTCACTTCTTTATTTAGTGGGTATGGGAGTTATCGAAGTCAGGGTTGTCCCTCATTTTGCAGTAGATGTTTTTGTTGTACTCGAATCCCAATTCCTGGCACAAGGTGACATGTTTTAATGAACACCGACTTCTTTCCTTTAGCCTTGGTTATTAAAATCTCTAAAAGTCAAATTGGAGCTGCTCAGTTTGATACGAAAAGACTGCTGTATTTGGACTGACAAATCATGTGTTCTGTCAAAAATCTGAAGTGCATTTTTAAGATTTAGTTTAATTTATCAAATAGAATTAAAATAAGATGCATGTTATTATTTTCTTTACATTATCCTTAATATTATCTTTGGTTGCTTTAGCAGTACACTTCAGAATCACAGTCTTAGCATGCAGTAGTGCAGGAGTCTGTCTCAAAAATGAATAAGGATACAGGAGTTTCATTTCATTGTAAAGGTTAACTATAGAAACATAATCAGTTAAAAATAGCAATAAAAGGCGATCTGATTTGTGGCGTTGCATTGTTCTTTAGGTTGAGGAACAGGTCAGCACAACTGAAAGAGTATTTCAAGACAGGCAATACCAGATTGATGCTGCAATTGTACGAATAATGAAGATGAGAAAGACTCTTGGTCATAATCTCCTTGTTTCTGAGTTGTATAATCAACTGAAATTTCCTGTAAAGGTAACTGATTTTGATTTTCAAACCATCCAAGGATTATCTAAGAATATGTATTATATTTTTCCGTTCAGCTTGACCATAAGAGTAAGAATCATAGAATGGTTTGGGTTGGAAAAGACCTTAAGATTATCTAGTTCCAACCCCCCTGCCACAGGCAGGGACACCTTCCACTAGACCAGGTTGCTCAAAGTTCCATTCAACCTGGCCTTGAACAGGGATGGGGCAGCCACAGCTTCTCTGGACACCCTGTGCCAGTGCCTCACCACCCTCACAGTAAGCAACTTCTTCCCTGTATCTGACCTAAATCTCCCCTATTTAAGTTTAAACCCGCTACCCCTTGTCCTATTGCTACAGTCCCTGATGAAGAGTCCTTCTCTGGCGTCCTTGTAGGCCCTCTTCAGATATTGGAAGGCTGCTATTAGGTCTCCACACAGCCTTCTCTTCTCCAGGCTGACTTACTCCAACAGTTCCATGTCATCCTTATGTTGGGGACACCAGAACTGGAATATGAAATATGTCTTAATCAAATCCAAAGATCAAGGTATTAAAAAATTACTGTCTAAACAGAAATAAGCCTGAGTATCAGTCGGAAATTATATTTAGATATTTACTATATACCACTATGTATACTACATACTAGTTACGGAGCTGCTAGCAGTCCTGGTTTTTAAAATGAAATATACTTGCATTTATATTACTAACTGTTACACTAATCTCATCTTTTCTTATAGCCTGGAGACTTGAAAAAGAGGATTGAATCTCTCATTGACAGAGACTATATGGAGAGAGACAAAGACAACCCTAATCAGTACCACTATGTTGCTTAATGGAGAAGAAATCCTTTTATTTAAAAAAATAAAGTAAAATAAAAAAAACCCCACAAAACCTAAAAAATAAATACCAAAATCATGCACATTATATCTTCAGGATACCAAATACTTACGCTGTTCCAGAATTTCCTTTTAGCAGGTTTCAGGTTGATGTATATTATTCAACCAGCTGCATGCACTGCTGAGGAAAAGAATCATAATGACATGTTAATTGGTCATCCTCATCAGGACTACTTAATTTTAAGTGTCATGTTTTTATTTCTTTTAGTTACTCTCTTTTTCTTTTGGGTTCTTCAAAATGTAGTTTTACGATTTTGTTTAACAATGTCATTGAAGTTGGATGGAAAGGTAAAATTACCTGTGTGAGAAATACTTTGTGATGGATGCAGGTCTGGTTTCTTCATTTATGTGTTCCTAACTGCATCCATAAGACCCTATATGCTGCATTCTTTAGCTACAGTGACAACTGGGGTAACTTTTGAAAACCCTTCATTGATGAACACTTACGTACAAGCAGTGTTGTTGAAATACACTGACTTTTTGAAATTACGCACCATGAAACCCCTTCACCTCGTGTTCAGTAAACTTTCTTTCAATGATTATGAGCTTCAGTCTGGTTTGGACAAATCAGGTTTTGAAGTGAGATCCTTGAAGTGCCAAGAGGACAACTGCGTTCATGCGTGTAGTGAATTGTTGGATTATTTAGCTAAGGTATGGATTATCATTTTATTACTACTTCTGCTGGCTTGGGTGGTAAAGATTAGATCTGCATCAAGAGGCCCTACCTCATTTTAGGGCAGCGAGTGTTTATCACTTTATACAACAGCTGTAACATTTAGTTTTGCCTTGAAAATAACATACAGGGAACCTACTGTACAGCGTGCTCCACTTGAAAAAAGAAACCCCCTTTTTTTAAAAAGACTTTTATGGTCTCGATATTGTGAAAGCGTAGTTTTTTGTCTTGAAAGACTAAGGATTTTGTGAGTACTTTGTTTCATATTGTATATATGTAAGCTGATTTGCATTCAAGAATGAAAGACACTGTAGATCTGTTAGATAGCTGTAACTATAAGGAAGACATCTTTTGTGGTAATACTTGCAACAAGACTCTGTTTATTTTTCTGGATTTGCGTACTAGTGTGTTTCATTCTGAAAAAGAGCTACCAAAGGAGTTTTGATCATGGCATAAATGAGAATGTAACTGAGCAATATTTTTTTCTTGAGAGATACCATACTGAGTTTATGTAATACAGGGTTTGTGCATTGATTAAAAGGCCACCACCTCTTCTTAAAGTAAACATCGCTGAGAGTTGACATCTTGTGGATTTACATCTGAAAGTCCTTATTCTGTCACCTGGTGTCATTAATTGTATTACATTCTTCTGAATTATTTTTGTTCCCTTTGTGTTTAGAAACTAAACACATTTAGTTTATTGTATTTAAAGTGTATTTAATATTGTAATTTAATGTAGACTTATTTTAATATTTGACTCTTCAGTTAATGCAAATAAAATCTTTGGTGCATATTAAATATTAATTTCTTAGGCTTTGTGAGAATACGGTATTTCAGTTTGTTTGTGCAGTTTGTTCTTCAGTGTGCATTATACCATTCACCTTGTAATTCACTTTCTAGGCATATGGAAACCGATTGGCTCCATTTCACTAGACTTTTAAAATAAAAGGGAGTGTGTGCCTCACAGAAATGCAATGGACAGAGGCTTTATCCCCACAGAAGGTTGGCAGAGGTATGCAGTAACTGATACCAAGCAGTGAAAGTACCACCTTCCCTTTCTGAACCCCAACTTCCCGGTTCAGTGGTTTCAAACAATAGATTAAAAGCAGTGGTGTTATCCTAGAGATGAGTGGAATGGTTCTGCCTTACAAAGCAATGCTAATTGATTAAAAGTGCTGAGATGTGCAGTTTTTCCTAATTGACACAGACTTTGACCGAATTACTCTCATACAGCAATTAAAAATGAGTTGTTCCACCAGCAGTGGAAGTAATGAAGCCTGCCCATGTGTGATGTGTATAACCCTCCCCTCAAATAACCTCAAGCAGCAGCAGTGCAGACGGTTCTTCTGCTTAGTTCTGCCCTTCTGCTCCCTTGTGGGAATGTTTTTCATTCTCCTTTATCCAGCTGCTGATCTCCACCCATCCCTTTGCCCCACAGACCTACAGAGAATGTAATGATCTCCAAAGATTTTTACTCTTCCTGGTCTGAAAATGGCTTCAGTTTCAAAAGCTGTGGAAGAAATTGACAGGCCAGGTGACTGTGACTCTCTTTTTCTCAAGTCCTATTTTTAATTTGATTTCCTCGAATTTCTGGGATTTTGCATTTTGCTGAACCAAACAGGTAAATGGTTAGTTCATTAGCCAGCACAGTAATCACTTCTTCATAGCAAAACAGCTGCATTTCATTGCCTTTTGATAGCTGGTGACAGAATTTGGCTGAGCATCCAGCCAGTTGTTAGCCTGATGCCAACTATTTCGGTTCTCATCACCTTGAATATATTTGTGCCCACAGGGCAGAGATTGCTAAACATTTCTTTCTGGAAGATCACTTGGTGTTGAAGACACTGGGCTGCAGCAAAGTAACAGATTTCCTCTATAGCACATCCATGTTCAGAAGATGTCTTGAAAACGTGAATCTTGGCAATTTGGTATCCTTGGAACAAATTGTACAGCGGGTTCTGTGGAATGACAAAAATAGTAGGAATCCAGGATACAGGTGGCGCCTCTCCAATTTTACCAAACCCTTTCAATGTAACTTGAAATTTTCCAGTTTAACATAAACATTCTGGTACCTTTTCCAGACACACATGTATTTAAAAGGCAATCTTCCTAAACGTGATGTTCTGTCACCTAGCCCAGTGTTTCCCAAGGGAAAGCCAGTGTAAGAATGCAGGCTGACAGCCAATTTGCAGGTGCTTCCCAAATCCAGCAATTACAGTTTTTACCAGCCACCACCAGCCTCTTTCCTGCCTGCTACTTGTGTCCTGTCATCTTTGTTCTGCATTTCAGCTTCCCCTGTATTCCTTTACCTGAATCTGGGTTTATAGTTTAACTCTCTTGGTCTGCTGTGGCTTTCTTCTGCAACATGCATCTTCGGGGGGGGAAGGGGTAGGGAGGGGGAGGAAAGTTACACACCTTTCAGGCAACTTTAGTGCATTAATTTGTTACACCAACAGACCTATTGGTAAGTTTATGATCTTTGGCAGGTTGGCTGGGGAGTGGACTCTCTACTGTAACCTTAGCTATCTATTCCTAGCAAGTCTCTTCAGATAGAAAGTAACCATGCAAACTCAGATCATACACAGCAAAAGGCCACAGGAAGAACAGCAGTTTTTGTGGAAATTCTTTCCTGGTAAAAATTCCCAAGCCGTACTCTGTCTCCCATGCTAACATTCAGCCTCAACTTTGCAAAACAGTTTGTGTCTGACTATCGGCTCCTAGATCTCCTGGGTTATTTCCCATGTTCTTCCCCACAAGCAGCTGTTCTGCACCTGTAGCTCTAAAGTGGGGACAGGAGCTATACCACAGTTAATCTGTAACTGTGTGCATCTTGGCTGGACAGCTGCTCTGTCAAACAAACTGCACAGGGGCTGGGTATGAACTAATTTGGATCTCCGGGCTGTCTACATACCAGCTTTTACAGAAGCTGCAACTTCATGTTTGTTTATGTCTTACCCTGCTATCTAGTTTGATTGATGTCAGCCAACAAGTTATTGAGCAGTGAGGCTGATGGCCAGCATGGTTGCACAAGACTTGCTCCATTAGGAAAGCTGGCTAACAAACACCCTGTAGCACTTCTACTGACAGTGACATGGAAACTGGTGACTGTGCACTCTCTACGCCACTAGCTAAGGCTTAGTAAGCTAATGATCCACAGCAAGTAAGATCAACATCATTCTCCACCGACAGCCTTATGTTCTTTACTTATGACCTCTTGGCACAATGTTGTTGCTCAATGCAACTTATATATTAATTGGTAGTAATCCAAGCATCAGCCATTTTTCAATTCATCAGTGCCTACCAGTTTTCCAGTAGAGGGGCAGGCTACTGCACAGCAAGTTTAAACCTGACGCTGGGCCTCCCTCTCTATATTTTGTTTTCTGTCAGACTTAAAGTATTCCACAGACCTTCCTCCACTCCCAGTGCGGGATCCAAAAACAGCGATCAAAACCCGAGAACAACCTATGTCCCACCTCAACTCCTCTGCAGATGACTCATTCAAATGCTTGTCCAGAGCTGTTCCTTCTGTCCCTTTTCAAGCTGACTAACTTCTGCTTTTGGCAATACATGGCAAGACTTAAAGACTGCTAGAAGTGCTGCAGGGAAAAGCAAACAAACTAAAATAAAACATTACCATCTCTAAAAAGGCACAGATAAAAATGCAGCATTAAGTCTGTTTATAGCAACAGCGTTGAAAGGCAGATCTTCAAGACACCATGAACAGCAAATAAACTTCTCTAGGATGATTTAGGGAAATGGAAAGTGTGAGTGAACCGAGACAAACGTTAGGGAAAGGTCATCAAGTTTACAGTGGCTGGACTTGAATTTAGCAACTGGCAGTAGCTAAACTGCATTTCAAATTGATTTTAAATAAAATATGTATGAAGGCAGCTTGGGAGCATTAATGATTCTGCCTCAGAGCTGATGAATCTGGAGTACACTGTAATGAGGAGATGGATGACATGGCAGTCATTTTGAGAAAGCAGAAGCACCCTGCTATTGGCACGCTTTCCAACAGTACTAGAAATAGGATTTCAGTAGCAAAATAAGTACTTCTGAGGTTTCAGATGAAGAAAGCGTACCCTTAATAGCTTAGATAAGAGCATTGAGTTACAAAGTGATCAAATGGCCTGGACATCTCTGTTACTATGCTAACATCGGAGAATGCTGCTAGAACAACTTCACCTCTTGTTTCCTAGTTTTCTCAGAAAAAAAGATTTTATAAAATCTTTTTGATGAAAACATCACACAACATCAGAAACTA